TGATTACTGGAAGGATCAGCTAGAAGGATTGCTATGATATTATACTCGTATTGTGCCTCAGGGTGAGGCAGATTCCCATGTTCTATGAACATGCAGAACATGGGTCCTGAGTGCGAAAGCCAAGACGGGAAATACCCTCAACAGAACAGAAATCTTTATTCTAAAATGTTAGATTAAAGAGAACGCAACACAGTCACACAATTTACCTGTTTTTAAGGAATAAAGAAAGAAAGAAGAATGGAGAATTCTGTGACTGGCCCAGAGGACAGGCATGTTCACATGCTACATTCAAAATATTTAAAGTGTAGGTACAGGTGCATACACAATATACTGCATAGAATTTGGTGATCTGTACCCTCAAGCAGGTTGTGTGTGTGTGTGTTTTCAAACATTATACATAAAGCCATTCAGATAGTTGCTTAAGGTCTTTGGTTCAATTAACAGGTGGGGCTCATGTTCTAGAATTTATTTATTTATTGTATTTATACCCCGCCTATCTAGTCATTTCAACCACTCTAGGTGGCTTACAACATAAAGGATAACAAGTTCAAGAAAAATTTATAACAATTAATTAATTAAATTGTAGGTACAGGTGCATACACAATATACTGCATAGAATTTGTTGATCTGTATCCTCAAACAGGTTGTGTGTGTGTGTGTGTGTGTTCAAATGTTATACGTACAGCCATTCAGATAGTTGCAGAAAACGTTTAAGGACCTTGGTTCAATTAACAAGTGGGGCTCATGTTCTAGAATCCGCTACATACAATGAAGTTCCTAACACCTTACTTAAAAGTACCCAGCGAGGGTGCAGTGCGAATCTCCGGAAGTAGGTTATTGCAGAGGCGAGGAGCTACATACAATGAAGTTCCTAACACCTTATTTTGAAAATAATCCTTCAGATGTTTATACTCTTTTGCTTGTTCCTATTGGCATGTTCGTGTTTATGAATGTACTGTATAGAGTTTGGAATATCAGATTAATTTTTCCTCAGACTGGGGACTCTTTAGCACAATGTGAAAGAAAGTAGTAGGTTATTGCAGAGGCGAGGAGCTACATACAATGAAGTTCCTAACACCTTATTTTGAAAATAATCCTTCAGATGTTTATACTCTTTTGCTTGTTCCTATTGGCATGTTCGTGTTTATGAATGTACTGTATAGAGTTTGGAATATCAGATTAATTTTTCCTCAGACTGGGGACTCTTTAGCACAATGTGAAAGAAAGTTGGAATCCACAGACGCATGGTTACCCATGCGTCTGCATAAAGTCTAATTACGGTAGTTCATGTGCCCCTGTGCCGCCTCTTGCAGAAAAAGAAAAAGCACCTCACGTGGTCTCATTATTGAGCAGGAAATCACAGCATTCAGACACACGGGTGAAACTTTTCGTGGAACAAACAGAAAGATGGCTGACAAAGAATGACAACCCAATACCTCTCCAATGTGAGTCAGGAGTTATAAAAAAATTTTTTTTGAAGGTGTATTTCATGAGTCCTTAGAAAAGCTACTTGCATTCCAACTTTGATGACTTTCCAGGGAAAGGAAATGCCAATGATGTTTCAGACAGAACCAGCTTGGGCAAACCCTGTTGCACGATTGTTTTTGCTGTGCAGGTTTGCTGACTAAACCCAAGAGGGTGCTGTTGGTTAACGTTAGCCTAGATACAGTACATGGTTCTTGTGCTGCCTGCGCAACCTGACACTCACTTTTAAGCGGGAGATGGGGAAGCTATCCCTGTGTACAGTTGTGTTCCCCAAACTGCTACCTCTAGAGGTATTGAACGACAACTTTCAACAGCATCAATTCACTTGGCCAGCCCAGTCGGTTATTTTTCCACCTCGCCGGCAGGGTTGTTTTAAAATGCACCAATCCTGTATCACTTCAATCCTTCTTGTTTCAGTAAGTGTGAATGATGCTATTGATTTATTACTGTGTGGATGGGCTGGGTTTGGGGGCCACTGCATGGCCACTACGCTTGTACCTCTATCTATCTATCTATCTATCTATCTATCTATCTATCTATCTATCTATCTATCTATCTATCTATCTATCTATCTGCTTTTTAAATGCTTATCAACAAATCGCTTTCTATCCTGGAAAGTTCTTGCAGCAGCGCCTGTGTGGGCGTGCGTGCGTGCCTGCATGCCACCTCTGAAATTCAAACTAAGCAAGGGCAGCTGTTATCTCAAGCAGAAGGAAAGAAGAGCAAATCGGGGTGTGTGGAGGGGGGGCAGCAGCAAGATGAGCGATTTTCTATTGAGGGGTTCAGATAGGGCAGGGTATGGGGTTGAAAGTGAGATTTTATCTTTGGGATATTCTCCCCCCCTTCCAATCCTTTGCAAAAGCCTGGAGCAGGGGGGGTAAGGCAGCCCGGCCTCCAGCATGCACCTGCATACTGTATGCTGCTTAAGCAATATAACACTTATGAATATATAGAGATTAAAATAAAGAAAATGAATCGATTTGTATGAGATGGTGTGTGTAGCCTACAGAACTCGTACAACAAGCAAGAAATCTACTGACAGCCCTGTGAAGGTATACCATGTGATGATACAGTACATATAAATATATAGATATTTTAAAAAGGAGGAAAAGGAAACAATTCAAATCATTCGTGTGATCAGGCCCTTAGTTTTGCCTTTGTTAGTGAGGAACAGAAATGAGTTACAAACAGTTCGTTCTTTGTGACTGGTAATTTCTTGAAACTGTGGATATATTCGCCAAAGGGGATGGGGGGGGGAAACACCCTGCGGTTTAAAACAAAAAAACCATACCTTTGAAGCTAAATCTTACAAAGCAATGAACGTCAGACCACAGACCAACCAGCTGAAGAGGCAGGCACACAGAGATGCCCCTCTTCTAACTTAACGTCCAGGGCAAGTAAACACTGCAGATTAACTCCAGCAGCCACCCTAGTAGTTACGTATGCCAGTCCCAACGAAGAGCAGATGTATTTGCTAAAATTCTATTCCGAAAAGTCTAAAGTCATGAAAGGGAGATGGCATAAATATCTGCCACTCAAAAATGGGACACCAGTTTCATTCCTGGGCACAAGGGTGATCAGAAACACAACCACCCACCCCCGTTCCTTAATGAATAGCAATTTGCCACCTGACTTCGGTTACGCAGGCGTAAATTGGCAAGAAGATTCTGGCCATTGAATCTAGTTCTTCCATGGCAAGTCAACAGCTTTTAAAAATTATATTGTCAATAGATCTACTCTAGTTAGGACTAACAATAGGTTACTGGATATAAGCTTTACTATTCCAGTCCAATAGTAAAACCAATAATAAAGGGAAAGAAGGTTGTTTAATGGTCCCAATCCTAAATAAGGATCAGTGTTTCAGCAATTGAAGCGTGATGCTTGTCTCACTTGGAGTGAATGAAAGTAAAGGTGCAAGGAGGGCGTCTGAGTAGGCTCGTGTTTTGAATAAGGATGGGGGAAGAGATTGATCTGCTGTGTGAATGTTCTTGTTTCCTATTCCCAGGTGAGCTGCGGCCACAGGTAATGTCTTGGCAAGCTAAAGCATCAATTTAATAGACCGCTCTAGCATGCAGGAGGGAGGGGGAGACTCAAAATCTGGGTCACAGGCAAGACTGAGGTCTAGACAACAGCCAAGGAAGAGGGTCCTGCAAATCAGCTGCAGGAGATCCAAAGCTAAAGTCCAAGAGCAAGCCTGTTCAGCCATAACAGAAAACAAAGAGGGAGAGGTCAAGAAGCTCTGCCAGCTCAAGAGTCTATACAGGCAATGGAACAGCAAGGGTCAGAAACTGGAAGACATGTGGCCTCCAACCGTCCTAGACCATCCAGGGACCTGAGTTGCTGGCGTTTGGATACGTGGTAGAGGAGCTTAGCTGCAGAATTTGACCCATTGCATCCCCGGAGGAAGCACTTTCTCGCAAGGGGGCGATGGGTTCTTGAGGAAGACTCTTCTCCCGAGTCTCCTGGTATCTGAGAGCTTTGCCTGGGGGCTTCTCCTTGAACGTGTGCCTTCATCCTGTGGTGTTCTGCTGGACTGGGGGATGGTTCAGTCCAGCTTGTTCCAACCAGCTTCAGATGGATTTCTAAGGACACGACTAGACACAGAGTGCCGTTAACTTCCCACCGAGGTGGTACCTATTTCTCTATTTGCATTTTTACATGCTTTCAAACTGCTAAGTTGGCGGGAGCTGGGACAAGCGACGGGAGCTCACTCTGTCGTGTGGATTCGATCTTACGACTGCTGGTCTTCTGACCTTGCAGCACAGAGGCTTCTGCGGTTTAACCTGCAGCGCCCCCATGTCCCTTAAGAAAACTATACCCAGTCACAAAGGATGGAGAGTTGCTAATTAAAAGTCTGTCTCCTAAGGAGACAGGACCCGCATATTACAATGTGTTATTTGTAAACCTGCTTTCCATCAGGTGCCAGAGTTCTGCTCAGTGCTTTCCCCGGGAAATACATTCCATGATCACACACGGTATCCTAAAAACTGGTCCTATTCAAGTAGGGGACTGCTAGAAAACTACCATTTTTAACCCCATCATTGCTTGTCTACATTCACTACTTGGGTGGAAGGCAGAAGCTGAGACTTCAAATATGAATCTGACCAAACTCTGGGAGGCAGTGGAAGACAGGAGGGCCTGGTGTGCTTTGGTCCATGGGGTCATGAAGAGTTGGACATGGGGTCATGAAGACTTAACGACTAAACAACAACAACAAAGAACTGCAGCATCAGTGAATAACAATATACTGTAATAATAAAAAAGGTGCCCTAAAATTAAAACAAAAAAAAATCTTTTTTTTCCCCTGTGGGGGAAGATAATTTGGAAACCACACATCAGTTGGAACTTTTCTGTGATGAATTGTTGGTGCCACTTTTTTTTAAAAAAATGGTTTTGCCATATTGCTGCCATCTGTGTTATATTTTAGCGTTTTGTTGAGATGCTTTGTTTTAATCCTTGTATACGGCCCAGAATAGTGCTTTGGCACTAATGGAGCAGTATATAAATTAAATGAATGAATGAATGAATGAATGAATGAATGAATGAATGAATGAATGAATGAATGAATGAATAAACGAACGAACGAACCTGTAGCATAGGTAGAGCCACCATATAATACATACCTGTACTGGCATATGACATTATTGTCGCTTTCAGTTCCTTGCGGGGTGCATGACAGACCAGAAGAGTTGGGATTGGCTCGCAGGGTGATAGTACTCTGGCCATCCATAGCAAAGAACCTCATGAACCAACTGTGTTGAGAACAGATGGGCTGGTTCTGGAGTTTGCCTACACAAGGCATGTAAAAATCGAGAAGCTTGTAGATGGGTGGGGTCTCGTCTGTTTCCTGTAAGATAGAGCCCATCTTGGTCATTAGGACTGGTGAGGAGCTCCCACTAGCAAATCAGCACAAGACAGGTGAAAGTGGACTTGTAGATTCATGCTGGCAAATTAAACTTCTATGCTGTGAGCCAACAGACAGACAGCTCCTGCTTCCTATGAACCTAGTTGCAAAGCTGAAGAACTTGTGGTCCTCTAGATCAGTGGTTTCCACCACTGGAATCCCAAATGTTCTTGGACTAAAACTTCCAGTAACCTTCATCACTCGCTGTGCTGGCCAGGATTTCTGGGAGTTGTAGTTCAAGAACATCTGGGGACCCCAGGTTGGGAACCAGTACAGTGGTGCCTCGCTTAACGACGTTAATTCGTTCCAGCGACATCGCTGTAGAGCAAACCATCGTAAAGCAAAAATAAAAAACCCTCTGAAACGCATTAAAACCTGGTTAATGCGTTCCAATGGGCTATAAACTCACAGTCCAGCAAAGATCCTCCATACGGCGGCCATTTTTTGGGGCCTGTATAGCGAGGAATCCATCCCTAAGCACAGCGGGGACCTATTTTGAGCCCCCGGTGGCCATTTTGAAAACCTGACAATCAGCTGTTTTGATCGTCATAATGTGAAGAATCGGTTCCCGAAGCAGAGAACCGATCTTCGCAAAGTGAAAAAAAACCATTTAAAACATTGTTTTGTGATCGCAATTGCGATCACAAAAACATCGTCGTGAAGCAGATAATGCGGGTTAATTGTTAAGTGGGGCACGACTGTATTCTAGATGTTGTTGGACTTCAAGACTCCCATCAGCAGTAGCCAGCATGCCTGATGGGTCAAAGATAATGGGAGCTAAGAATCCAACAGCCACTCGAAGGCCACACGTTATTCCCACCCTGTCCATAATTCGAGAGGATCACCGGATACTTCAGATTATTATGAATCAGATTTTTTTCCACACAGAATTCCAGGGCTAGCTTAAGGTCTGATGGAAACTTGGTCAAAATGCTCTCTGGTAGCCTGCCTTAGGCATACCTGATAGTGCTACCATCTGCAGCACTCCAATGGTATCTGGGAGTTGCTATTTAAATTTCGCACAATGCCTTAGAATCCCTGATTTAATGACAGAGAGTTGCAGGACTGGCTAGGATGAAAGGGCGAAGGGAGGTGCCACCATGAAAGAGTCGGCCAGGTCAGTCTGTCCCTGGGCGTCGCCTTTGAATGTCAGGTCTGGGGAAATAAGACTAGGAAGTTTTGGCAGCTGCTTTCTGAAGCTCTGTAAAGTTATTTTCATGGAAGACACTCCCAGCTATGAGTGAAGATGTTCTATCAGAGTCTATCATCCACCTATGAAAGCCAGTTGCTTGGAAACAGGAGCAGGAGGAATACCACTGTACTCATGTCCTGCTTGTGACCTTTCCAGAAGTCTACGACTGAAGTCCACGGGAACGGAATGTCAGGCTCAATGGACCTTTGATCTGATCTCCTGGGACTCGGTGGGCTTTCATCTTAAGTGGAGTTTTTCACAGTGTTGGTTGTGCAAGTCCTTCCCTGATATCCAAATTTGTTCATACTGGGAGAGTCTCTCCCTTGGGCAGGGAGTGTTTGCCCCTACTAAAAGACAATGCATGCAAGTGAAGATAAGATACCAGTAGGAACCAGAGATACACAAGTTTGGGAGAAATGGGTACATATTACTTGTTAATGAAATTTAAAAAAAAAATCTACCATGTTTTCCCGAAAATAAGACAGAGTCTTGTATTAATTTTTGCTCCAAAAATGCATTAGGGCTTAATTTCAGGGGATGTTTTATTTTACAGTCGTGTCATCTTCTGGTTGCTGCACAATGGTGGAAGGCGGGGTTTCATTGAACTGGGGCTTATTTTTTGGGGTAGGGCTTATATTACGAGCATCCTGAACAAATCATACTAGGCCTTATTTTCAGCTTAGGTCTTATTTTCCAGGGAAACAGGATAATTGTATTGTATTATTTTTCATTTTTATATGTAGCCCAGCAGAAGTGCTCAGGATGATTTTCAAAGAAATATTAAAAGAATGGAGGCTTAGGTCTTATTTCCAGGGAAACAGTGTACCGGTAATTGTATTATTTTTCATTTTTATACGTAGCCCATCTTTCTCTCAGCAGAAGTGCTCAGGGTGATTTTCAAAGAAATATTAAAAGAATGGAAATTTAATTAATATTGTTTATATGTTACCTTTTTCCTCATAGGGGATCCCAAGATACAATGATTTACAATATTTTCTTTAAAAAGAACATATGAATCATTAAAAAGTGTAAAATCTCTTTAAATGTAAAATCTCTTTAAAAGAAATTTAAAAAGAGGGGGGGAAAGGCAACTCTCCCATTGAAATCCCTGCCTTAACCGCAATTCATTTATATTAAAAGCCTGTCTGAAAAATGAAGGTCTTTGTCCACTGGTGGCAGGACAGCTGAGAAGAGGCTGGCCTCTTTGGTGCCTGGTCTCTCACCAAAGGGAGTTCCACAGCTTGGGAGCAGCTACTGAAAAGGCCCCGTCTTGTGCCTGCACAAAGCACATCTGTGAAGGTGGTAAGATGAAGAGAAGGGCCTCATCTGAAGATCTTAAACCCTAAGGAGGCTTCTGCTTAGGAGAGACGGCCCTGCAAATAGCCTGGACCCAACTTGGTTAGGGCTGTATAAGTCAGAACCAGAATTTTCAAGCATGTCCCGAACATTTTGTTTACATTGAAAAGCAGATGTTTTAAAGGCTTATATTGATTTTAAATTGGTATTTAGATTTATGACGTGTTTCTTCTGAGTTCTTGATACCTAGGAACCATGGAAAGGGTCGCCCTATTTTGAAACCCGCTTGATGGTGTGTTATTATTGTTACTATCCTAAAAGCCTGCCTATCTCTGGCAGCAATCAAGAACGGTCAGTGAGGAAAACAGACTCACCAGGGCCTCCTCAGGGATGACAATGATAGGCATCTTCAGGTAGTTTTGGGCCACGGAGCTCTTAGCTGTGAATGTTGCGATGCTGAAAGAACAGTTAGTCATGATTATCGACATAGTGGTTGTATTCATGAAGAATGTGCACATGTGTAAAAAGAAGCAACTCCCTCTCGGTAACACCCACTTGGCCTCCCCTCAGCAACCCACCAAAATTTCCGCAATATTT